CTCCCTCCTCTCCCCATCCTCCCCCTCCTCCTCCTCCTCCTCCTCCTCCCCTCCTCCCTCCTCCTCCTCCCTCCTACCTCAAAAAAAGAACTCTCCTCCTCCTCCATCCTCCTCCTCCTCCTCCTCCCCCTCTGCCTCCTCCTCACTCCTCCTCCTCCTCCTCCTCTCCTCTCTCCTCCTCCCTCCTCCCCCTCCTCCTCCTCCCCCTCCTCCTCAGCCCCCCTCGCTCCTCCTCCTCACTCCTCTCCTCCCTCCTCCTCCTCTCCCTCCTCCCTCCTCCTCCTCCCCCTCCGCCTCCCCCCCTCCCCCTCCTCCTCCTGGAGGAGGAGGAGGAGGAGGAGGCCGTGGGCGGGCCCCGCGGCCACTGCGTGGCGTGGCCGCTGCGGGGAACCCCACCAGACCCTGAGACCCTCTGTCGCAAACTGGAACATTTACACTGCCAGTGGCGGGCTGTTCTCCAATCCCACGACTCTTTGGAGGGTCGGGGGCGACGTCGGGGTGGTGTGGTGTGCACTTTGCCCCCGTTTTCCCAGGGAGGCAACGGAAAAGGTATGCACCAGGATCCACGTGCCTGTGCGAATGTCAGCGCAGGGCCGGAAAAAGCGTCGGCGTGTAGAGTTCGTTTCCCTACTCTCTCTCACCCCCCGAGGCCGAGGCTTTCGGACATTCTCGCTGGCTCTCGTCGGTCCTCCAGCCTCGGGAGATGCCTTCCTGCAGGCTGCGCCTGGCTGGTGGCGCTCGGGGAGTGCCCGGGTCGTCCCGCACGGGCGCCGGAGACCCAAGCCGTGACCTGAAAGCCGAGGGGGGTGGGTCCAGCCTGGACGCACTCACCAAATTGCCCCCTTCGGCGGCCGACGCACGGGGGGCGCACGGGCGACGAATGCGCGACGCACCTCTTGTCACGAAGGGGGGGTGGGGTCAGCACGCCGGTCGTCTTACTGGGCCTTAACAGGTCCAGGACCTCGAGATCCGGGCCTCGTGTTTGTTTCGTACCCGGCGTTTTCGCCACGGTTCGGGCCCTGGGGCTTTGGCATCTCAATCTGGCTTGCAAGATGCAGCAGAGAGGTGGGGCCTGGGGCTGCAGGGGTGCGTTTTCGCGGTGTTGTCGCGTGGCCACGGCTGGATCCGCCTCGGAAAAGGCGGGCGAGGACGAGTCCCAGGAGGGGTCCAGGGGCAGACTCTTGGCGGATTTGGTCCGGGCGGGAAAGAGTCGCTGTCTCAGCGTTGGATGGCCTAGCCTACCTGCCTCTAGAACAACAACATCTTGGGCGCAGGCCAACGACTGCTCTCACGCGTTCTAGCCACAAGCGTCTACGGAGACATTGGGTGCAGTTGAGTCTGTGGACGCACTCGGGGTGTATACTGGTCTGTTGACAGCGCGGCCGTTGCGTCCGTCGCAGTGCAAGGCTGGAGATGTCGGAACAAGGGTAGATCCGTCTGTGGCATTTGCCTGTTCTGGGGTAGGCCCCGCACGGTACTCCAATCTCGAGTGGCCCTCCCCGAGCGGACAGCCAACTCGTACTCAGCGTCCCTTCGCTCCGGGTGGCGCCAGGAGTGCACCGCGCCGGCGCCCGTCGTGGATTCGTGGTCTGCGCCCTCGGCCGTCCGGTCATCCTTCCGCGCCTGCTCCGTGCGCGGCTCCTATGTGTGCACGCCTTCTATCTTGGGCGCTTCAGGGAGGGCCTTGCCTTCGAGGGTAGAAGGAGTGGTCTTCTCGTCCTCGGCGGAAGGCAGCGGCAGGGCGGCGCCAGGCGGCGGTAGTAGCATACATGCGCCCCCAAGAGGTTGTTGAACCGTTTCTGGGTTCAGGGTCTCCAGAATCGGCGTGAGGCCACGGCCTCATGCGCCCTGCCCACGAGGGCACGGGTGCCCGACTCCGGCGCCCTCGCTTCGCTTCGTTCCCTTCTCCGTTCTGTCGTTCGTGTGCCGCTTCGACGGGTTGCAGAGTGACGACACGACTTTGGGCGCACGCCGTGGCGTGAGTGGCCTGAGAGCGTCGTGTCGTGCCTCGCCGGCGCCGCCCGCCTGTGTTCTCCTTCTCTCCACGCTGGTGGTTGACTGCTCATGCGCTGGATCGGCGTATGTGCCGCGTGTGCACGCAGCCTGAGCCCCGGATGGGCCGATGTCCCCAGAGGCCTCGTGGGGGCTTCCAGAGTCAGGGGCGCACTGACCCGGGCTGGCGCGCGGGATCCTGCAGGATTCTGCAGGATCCTGCAAGGCCCGATCGACCCGGTTTGCGCTGCCCCGGGTCAGTGCGCGTCCCCCAGGTCAAGAGAAGCGAAGCCTGGTAAAACGTCTCCCAATCCCTCCTCCGCAGATTCGGAACTACTGACCGTGCCCGCCCTCGGCAACGTGCACGGGGCGCTGGTCGGCAGGGGGGACCTTCCGAGGAGGAGGAGGAGAAGGAGAAGGAGGAGGAGGAGGAGGAGGAGGAGGAGGACAAAAAGGACCAGTGTAAGCCGAAGAGTCACCAACGATGTTGGAGTAAACCTTCCATCTCAGCTCCCTAGTCATAGACCCCTATAAGGATTCGTTTATACTGAGGGAACTGACTCGTTGGAAGACACCAGTTTGAAGACCCTGAAGCATGGCAAAGCAGTGTTCTCGGGACTCCAACGTCACGGATCCACTTGAGTGTTGCTTCTTGACGATCCTGAATCGTGCCAGAAGGCCATTCTTGGGACTTCAACATCGCGAATCAACGTCATTGTTGCTCCCCCCAAATCCGGATTTTTTCTCAAACGCGATATCTGTACGTCGACCATGGTAATCCGTGAAATTCACTCTTGCAATTTTTGGAAAGTAATGCACCCGGGGAAAAGAGAAAACCACATTTTGAAAAAGGAACCGCCCTCAATCCGTGAAGCTCTTGCGTAGTTTTAAAACGAATGTGCGTGGCGCTAATGCGAGAGCCACATTTTGAAAACGACCCGCCCTCCATTTGTGAAGCTGTTGTGCTAATCTTGGAATGTCTGGGTCATCAATGGTGAGGAAGTCTCAGGCGGAACGCCCGGCCCTCCCTATTGACTGACCTCTTAGTGCGACAGGGAACAGCTATTTGTAAGGAAAAGGAATGGATGATGATGATGAAGAAGAAGAAGATGATGATGATGATGATGATGCTGATGATGATGATGATGATGACGATGATGATGATGATGATGATGATGGTGATGATGAGGATGATGATGATGATGATGATGATGATGCTGCTGCTGCTGCTGCTGATGATGATGATGATGATGAGGATGATGATGATGATGAGGAGGAGGAGGAGGAGGAGGAGGAGGAGGAGGCGGAAGAAAAAGAGAAGGAGAAGGAGGACGACGAGGAGGAGGAGGAGAAGGAGGAGGAGGAGGAGGAGGAGGAGGAGGAGGAGGCGGAAGAGGAAGATCAGGACGACGAGGAGGAGGAGGAGGAGGAGGAGGAGGAGGAGGAGGACCACTGAAGGTCCCTGGAGGCCCCCAGGAGGGCCCTCTGCCCTCTGGGGAGGCCGCCTTTGCGCCTTTGGTCCCTGCGCTGGCTCCTCTGCGGGTGCTTCGGGCTCGTTTCGAGACCCTGGCGCGAAAGCCTCGCCCAGCGCCCTGACGCCCTGGTGTGCTTCTGGGGCGCCCCCCGTCCTCTGGGGGAAGCACACGACAACAGAAACAAGTACAAAACATCGCCGCCCGCCTTCTTGGAAGGCCCGCCCCTCCGCCCCCCGCCCCCGACCAGGTGTGCTCCTTTGAGGCAACCCCCGCCCTCTTGGAAGGCCCGCCCCCGCCCCCGACCGGGACAAAACAGCTCCGACACAGGCCCCCGGACGCCCCTCCCAGGTGTCGATCCTGGCCCGCTCTCCCAGCTGCGCGCCCCGGGGCGCGCCCCCGCGGCGCCAGAACCCCGCGGTCGCCGCACCCCTCGTGGGGTCGCCGTCGTCGTCGTCGTCGTCGTCGCCGCCGCCGCCGCCGCCGCCGCCGCCGCCGCCGCCGCTCGTCGTCGTCGTCGTCGTCGTCGTCGTCGTCGTCGTCGTCGTCGTCGTGGAGCCCCCCCCTAGCCCCCTCCTCCCTCTTCGGCCCCCCGCGGTGGGCCCCTCCCCGGGCCCCCCTCTCGGCTGCCCCCCCCCCGAAGCCCGCCTCGGCACCCCTCGGCTGCCCCCCTCGGGGCCCCCCTCGGGCTCTCCGCCGCCCGCAGCCCGCCGCGCCGCAAGGCCGCGCGCGCGCGGGGCGCGGGGCCCGGCGCTCCGCCGCGCAGAGTCGCCCTCGGGCGCCCCTCGGGGGCCTGGAGCCGTCGGGGGGTCTGAGGTGGCCCAGCGCTGGCTCCGACCAGCGAGGGGAGGGGGGGGGGGCAGGCTCGGACCAGCGAGGGGAAGGGGGGGCAGGCTCGAAGGTCTGGGCTCGGGAGAGTTCTTGCCCTCTTCCGTCTCCGGGGGCCGCTTGCGGGCGCGGGGGCCGCGAAAAAGGGATGCAGGGGGAACAACTGCACCAGATGGGGCCCCGGCAAGGGTCCTGGGGCCGATTTGGAGTGGACTTGGCTCCGTCCCCTCCTCCTGACCGATGAAATTAAAGGTCCCAACCAGTTCAGACTCCCGGGCCGCCTCCATCGCGGGGGCCCCTCTCCTCGGGGGGAAGAGGCACGCTGACCGCGACCAAGACGTCGCGGGACCTTGTCGGCGCCGATCTTGGCCATGGTCCATGACGGCCATCGCGGGTTCGCGACGATGATCCGCGAATCGACGGTGACCAAGATGGACGGTGACCAAGATCGGCACTGGTTTTCTTGCCCCCCCCTCCCCGCCCTGGTGCAGGAGAGAGGACCCTGGAGGGCCTCCAGCGGCCGTTTTGGACGATCCTTCCTGGGTCCTCGTCCTCCCTTCCTCCTCCTCCTCCTCCTCCTCCTCCTCTTCCTCCTCCTCCTCCTCCTCCTCCTCCTCCCCTTCCGCCCCCTCGTCTTTCTCATCCTCCATGTCCTCCTCCTCCATCTCCTCCTCCATCTCCTCCTCCCTTCCCCCCCTGGCGCGCCAGGAGCTGTGGGGTTATCCTGTTCGCCCTGGTCTGCGGCTACCTCCCCTTCGAGGCACAGGACAACCACCATGAGCTGTACAAGAAGGCCCTCGCACGCTTGGCGGCGAGGGCGAGGAGGAGGAAGATGATGATAAGGAAGAGGAGAGGAGGACGAGGGGGGGAGGCGAGGAGGAGGAGGAGGAGGAGGAGAAGGATAATAAGGATAATGATAAGGATTATGATGATGATGATGATGATGATGATGATGATGATGATGATGATGCTGATGCTGATGCTGATGCTGATGCTGATGCTGATGCTGATGCTGATGCTGATGCTGATGATGCTGATGATGATGATGATGCTGATGATGATAATGATGATGATGATGATCATGATCATGATCATGATGATGATGATTATGATGATGATGATGATGATGATGATGATGATGCTGATGCTGATGCTGATGCTGATGCTGATGCTGATGATGGTGATGGTGATGGTGATGATGATGCTGATGATGATGCTGATGAGGATAATGATGATGCTGATGCTGCTGCTGCTGCTGATGATGATGATGATGATGCTGATGCTGATGCTGATGCTGTTGCTGCTGAGGAGAGGAGGAGGAGGAGAGGTAGGAGGAGTAGGAGGAGGGGAGGAATAGGAGGAGGAGGAAGGAGGAGGAGGAGGAGCCAGGAGGCGGAGGAGGAGGAGGAAGGAGAGGATGAGGAGAGGAGGAAGAGGAGGAAGGAGGAGAGGAGGAGATGAGGAGGGGAGGAGGGAGGGAGGAGGAGGCGGGGAGAAGGAGGAGGAGGAGGAGGAGGTCGGAGGAGGAGGAGGAGGAGGATGAGGAAGGAAGAGGAGGAGGAGGAGGAGGAGGAGAGGAGGAGAGGAAGAGGAGGCGATGAGGAGGTGGAGAAGAAGGAGGAGGAGGCGGAGGAGGGAGGAGTAAGGATCATGTTGATGGTAATGATGACGATGATGATGATGATGATGATGATGATGATGATGATGATGATGATGATGATGATGATGATGATGATGCTGATGCTGATGCTGATGCTGATGCTGATGATGATGTTGATGATGATGGTGGTGATGATGACGATGATGATGATGATGATGGTGATGATGATGATGATGATCATGTGATGATGATGATTCTGTGATGATGACGATAATATGATGATGATGATGACGACGATGATGATGATGATGATGATGATGCTGATGCTGATGATGATGATGATGATGATGATGATGATGATTGATGGTTGGTGATCGCGATGATGACGATGCTGCTGCTGATGCTGATGCTGATGCTGATGATGCTGCTGCTGATGATGATGATGATGATGATGATGATGATGATGATGACGATGAGGGGGAGGAGGAGGAGGAGGAGGAGGAGGAGGAGGAGGAGGATGATGATGATGTTTGATGATAGACGGATGAGGGGGAGGAGGTGGAGGAGGAGGAGGAGGGAGGGAGGAGGAGGAGGAGAAGGAGGAGGAGGAGGAGGACGTGGACGGGAAGGATGGTCGGGATGAAGAGCAGGATGGTGATATCGACGATGCAGATGATTGTGGTGGTGCTGATGATGGTGATACTGATGATAATGATGTGTTGTTGGTGCTGGTGCCGGTGATGCTGGTGCTTATGCTGATGCTGATGCTGATGCTGGTGCTGATGCTGGTGCTGATGATGAGGCTGCTGCTGATGATGGTGGCGGTGATGATGAAGATGAGGCGGAATGTGGAGGGACGAGCGGGCAAGTATGAATGATGTTCATGTCGGCACAACGGCGAATTGAGATGATGATGATGATGATGATGATGATGATGATGATGATGATGATGATGATGATGATGATGAAGCTGATGATGATGATGATGATGATGATGATGACGATGATGCTGAGGAGGAGGAGGAGAACGAGGAGGAGGAGGAGAAGGAGGAGGAGGATTATGCTTATTATGATGATGAGGTTGTTGATGGTGATGAGGAGGAGGAGCATGGGGATGATGAGGAGGAGGGGGAGGAGAAGGAGGGGGACGAGCAGCAAGAAGAGGAGGAGACAGAGAATGAGGAGCATGGGGCATATAAGAGGAAAGTGACGCGGATGGGGAGGGGTTCCACTTGACTGCGTTCCATCTTGGTGAGAGCACCCAACGAAGTGTACAACAGGATGGCTGACGATTTGGCATCGGGAGATGACATGCGAGGGTGGTGGAGGAGATGATGTCGTTTTGTAAAAGTTCCATCGTCAGATCCTCAACGCGGAGTACGAGAAGCCCGACTTCTTGAGTCCAGAGGCTGCTTACTTTCTGCATTTTTCTGCCAAGTCCAGGCTCGCACATCTTGCGCGAGCGATCTCACGTGTATATCTTGCCCTGGCCCGTGCGACGTGCCCTCCGGCCGCTCTCGACAGACTACCTCCAGAGATCGCCGCGGCCCTACACAGATCACCCCGCATCTTCCTCTTCCCGCTTCTCGGTCGCTGCCTCCTCCTCCTCCATCATCCTCGTCGTCGTCGTCACCGTCGTCTCGCCGTGCCCATCCCAAGCGGTGAGAGGTTCCTCAGGTCCCTCGGCCCAGGCGTGCAGAGTGTCAGCGCCTCCTCTACCATTGGACTGAGCACGAGTCTTTCGGGCTGCCTCCCTTCCGAAACGACGGAGGGACCAGGACGGGGAGGAGGAGGAGGGGTAGTAGTAATAGAAGTAGTCGTAGTAGTAGTAGTAGTAGTAGTAGTAGTAGTAGTAGTAGTAGTAGTAGTAGTAGTAGTCGTAGCAGCAGTAGTAGTAGTAAAGATAGTAGT